CCCGAGGTCCTGACAGGAATTGTGAAGGCCTTCCGCCTATTGCCCCTGAGCAAGCTCGCCATTGTGAAGCAGTCGAGTCGCGTTCCATTTGATGCCATGTTAATACCAGGAAGCTCGAGATTGCTGCGCCACGAGCCGTTGATGCCGAGTGGTGGCAAATGCTGGAGCTGTGGGCGTCTCCAGCACCTTGAGCTTGGGTGCCCACTGGGCGTTGCTGGGGTGCTGCAGGTACGCAGAGCCACGTCGATACAAGGCGGCGCTGGCCACTCGGCACAATGTACACTGGCGACTGCGGTCGGCGTCGACGGCGCGAGATCGTACTCGTCGTCTTCGACGCCCAAGCTTCCGACGTCCAAATCGAAAGTGTCGTTTCTGCCGTCTACGTCGGTGGGCGCAGAGAAGAGAGCGGCGAGAGACTCGGCCGCAGATGCCAGTGCGGCCCTGGGCTCCTCGAAACCTGCTGCTGGCGCATGTTGGGCCGGTGTCGCGTTGCCAGCAGTAAGCGTCGTCGTACTCTGCGCCGCAGGCGACACGCCATCACGATCCCTTGCTGGCACGAGATCGTTTCCGTCCCCCGTGGCAAGTGCGGCGACGGTTGCCGCTGGAAGCAGCCGGTGCGTTCTTGCCGATGTCATGGCGTCGACCCAGTGACCGAGTTGCATGCCAATCGACCACTCGGGTGCGCTCGGCACAATGAACGCCGCCGACATGATCGTCGTGCCGTGGATCGCGTCGTACGTGCGCAGACTGACAACAATATGGTCCGCCGAGTTGAATACAAATCGAGCGGCCCTCAGTGGTCCACGCTTTGGGGGCGTGAGAGCCGACTTGTTCCAGCCGACGGTCCACGCAACGCTGCCAAGGCGCCAGCCGCGCCTCGCGTCGCACCGTTGACAAGCAGGCGCACCAGAGAAGCGCATCGCCAGAGAAGACGCGCACGAGACCAGTCTTGCTGCTGTAACAAAGCTTGATCGTGTGGGGCTTCTTGACGACCGTCTTGGCCT